AACCCCAGGGGGGGGGGGGGGGGGGGGGGGGGGTAGAGTTAGTTTCTGTTCGCAGTGAGTTGCCAACTCCACTGCTCGCGAATCCATCCTGCCCGCCGACGCGAATTCTCGCGGCGGCGATTGCGATGGCTCCATGGCTCTGGCTGTCGCGTCGCTGCGGCCGCGAGCGCGCAGGCGCGCGCGCGCGGAGCGACCAGCGAGTCCGGCGCGACCGACGTGGCCGCGGTGGTGCTGATTGCCAGGGACTCCCCAGCGCGGTGCGCAGGCCGCGCTGACGCGTTGGCACTTCATTGCGGGCGGTGAGTAGTGCGGACGCGGCATCATGGCGATGCCGACAAAGGCAGACGCGCCGATGATTGCAGCGATGCTTGCAACGACGGTGGCGGTGACAACGGCAAGGCCTCTGACGGTGCCGGTGTCGATCGCGCCGGTGACGATGACGGCGTCCACGCTCGGCGGTGAAGTCTGCGAGCAGCGCGTCGACGTTCGCGCGCGACCGACGGGCCATTCGCCGCGGCATTTTTCTGGATCGGGGCCGCCCCCCCCCCCCGCCCAGCGCGCGCGCGCGATGGCGCCCGAATGATTTCGACGTGCGCGAGAGGCCTTTTGGGTGAGTCTGAAGAAAATTTGAAACCCAGAGGTTTTCCCCAGGACTTCGAAAGACCGCGCGCACAGTCTTTTTTTATATGCCGCGTTGCACAAACACGTGTTGCACGCCCGTATGCGGGGCACTCGGCGTTGGGATCCTTGCGACGCCCAAACTTTTAAAATTGTTTCGGCATGCGCGCGCGACAATGCGCGCGCGTGCGCTTCGCTCTCTTTTTTTGCGAAGGGATTAGGGTCATTGTTTTTTGTTTTTGCATAAATAAACAAACGAGCGCGCATACTTAGTTTTTGCTTGTAAGGGTTGGGGGGGGGGGGGTCGATATTGAACAGGCCGGGATCCTTTGATTTCTTGATTACAACGGACGATATGGAATAATAGGTCACCCCCTTGGTATCCTCGGTGTGAGCGGTTAAGTCCAATTTCGGCAGGGTGGTCGGTTCTATTTTTTCCACGAGATTGGGAATCTATGTAATGCAATTACTTATATGTTCGCAATTGGGCGTCAAATCCACTGATCGCGCAATCGCCCCGCCCGCCCGCCCACAAGTTGGTTTGCAGAACTCATGCGGCGGCGATTGCGACGAGCGCGCGGCGCTGGCTGGCGCGTCGCCGCGGCCGCATTGGCGCGCGCAGCCTCGGGCGCAGAGCGTTCGCCTAGTCTGGCGCGACTGACGAGGCCGCGGCGGCGCTGACCGCTGGGAACTTCCCAGCGCGTTTTGCAGACCGCGCTGACGCGCGGGCACTTCGATGCGAGTGATGACTACAGCGGTTTCGGCATCGTGGCGACGTCACCTACCAACGGCAGAAACGATGATGATTGTAGCGATGCTTGTGGCGACGAATGCGATGACGATGGCATAACCGCAGACGGCGCCGATGCTGATAACGCCGGTGATGATGATGATGATGATGATGCTGATGATGATGATGATGATGATGATGATGAGGATGAGGATGATGCTGATGACGGTTCCCACGTGTCGGCAATGAAGGTTGTGAGAAGATTGCGACATGCGCGCGCGGCCGACGGGAGCGAGTGGCCCGTGTAGTATTGTTTGGGCATTGTTTGAAAAAGGATCGTGCCCCCCCCAGCTCGCGCGCGGATACTTTTACTTGTGGAACAACCATGTTGCACAGCCGCGTGTTGTTGACATGTTTTCGCCCACCTCGGTTTGCGAAACCCAAGGTTTCTGAATGATTCCGGCACGCGCGCGAGAAAAGGCCTGTTTGGTCGCCATCGATGAAAATATTGGAGGACTTTTTTTTGATTGTAAACAGTTGAAAAGAGCACACGCGCAGTGATGTTTGTATGTTTTCGGGACATTCGATATTGACACCCTGGCGAAACCTACGTTCATTTTTAATGTTGAGACAGATTTCGGCATGCGCGCGACGACGTTCGCGTGTGCACGTCGTCCCGTGTTTTGCATGCGATTGTTGAACAATGATGATTTTGATGAACGAGTGTGTGCGCATAATGGCTTTTGCGCACGAGGGGGCGATACGGGCTGGGATGGGGCCGTATGAGTTCACATGTCGAACGAACGATGAGGCATCATCTCATGTAAGTTGTACGTCCCCTAGAGGGGTGCATAAATCCGGCCTCGGGGGGGCGGGGGGTCCTTGTTAAAATAAGAATGCATGTTATATGTATGTATGTATATATATATACACACATATATATATGTACATATATATATATACACGGAAAAGCTAGGGCGGCGACAGGAGGGGCGACGAGGCGGCGACGGCGTTTACGGGGCCGCCAGGCCGGCACCCCGGCCCAGGCGACGGACGAGCGGCGACGGGGTGGCGACGGGGCGGCGACGGCGACCACGAGGCCGCCAGGATGGCACCCGGGCGCAGCTCCTTCAGACAACGACGCAGGAACCCCGAAATGCAAGTACCGTTTGGGGGATGTTCTGCCCACCGCGCGCTGGTGCCGTAGGATTCCGTGGCGGTTCCAATTCCACTTGGGCCCTCGTTGGAGCTCAATCTGAATTCCACCGCATGTTCTACAAGGTACGATGGCTTTCGTATGACGTCCTGGCCTTTTTTTTTCATCCCATGTGCTTACGACTAGCTTTTTGCAACCTCTCTTGTATTTAGTACTCCCCCCCATTTGTGGTGCAGCTGGCACCCACCCATTAACCGTAGGTGTTTTGAAGTGTTGTGGCTCTTTTTTTGTTTAAGTATATGGTACTTCTTGTGTCCAGCGCCTGCTGGCAGCTGCCCTGTCATTTCCCCTTATGTACTTCTTTCTAGTACCTTATATTTCCTTTTTAGGTGTTTTAAAGTTTCTAGACTTTCCTACATTACTACTGCGTTGTGCCACGTCGCCACGAGTGCTGCACGAACAACTTGCACCCATACCCACGGGGAGGACGGAGGGAGCCCACACCCACATTGTACCTATGTGACCTATAGTCAGCCCTACTCCCTCCGACCCCCCTGTGGGTATGGGCGTGCGTTGTTCGTTCGCCAGCGAGGGCTTTCAAGGGGGGCGGACAAGACGACGGAGGGATGCGCACCACGATCCGGCGGCGGCGGGGCCGCCGGCGAGCCCTGGCCGCGGGGTCGTTTTGACGCCGCCCGCCCCCGCGACCCGCACGAGGAGCAGTCTTCCAGCTCCTCCTCCTCCTCCTCCACCTCCTCCACCTCCTCCTTTCCCCTCCTCCGCCGCCGTCCTTCTTACAGTCAAGGCTAGACTCAAGGTGAGTATCTGCAGGTCACCTCACCTGCAGGGTCTGCTCAGGTAGGCGCTGCGCCAGGACGCCGCTCCCGACGGGTGGGACTCCGCTGCCGCCATCCTTCTGGTGTGCGGGTGCGTGCTCTGGTGTCGAGAGAGGCCGCCTGTCTTTGACCGCTGTGAGTCTGATGTGTGCACTCGTGCTCTGAGCGGCGTCTCCACGGCGCACACTCCAATCCAATCCAATCCAATCCAATCCAATCCAATCCAATTCAATCCTCCTCCTCCTCCTCCTCCTCCTCCTCCTCCTCCTCCTTCTCACGTCCCCTTTTTTTTCTTCCTCCCAACGGCACCGAAGCACGAACGCCGCAGCGAGGCACTGAATACAGAGGAGGGGGTGGAGGAGGAAAATCAGGAGGAGCCTCCCGTGCTCCTGCGGAAGGGATCCGTGCTGTCGACGCTCACTCTGAGGAGGCCATGAGCTTCAAAGCTGAAATACACTCTGATCTAGCGGCTCGGTCAGATGCCGAGCTACTTGCAAGTTCCAAGGTTGTTCGTCCCTTGAGTTCCCTGAGTTCGTCGGGGTCCCCGCTCGTCGCCCACGGGGTCACTTGCGCGTCGGCGTCGCAGCTCAGTAGATCCACCCCCGAGCTCCAACGCGAATTCAGTCCAAACGGCCCTGCTTGCAGTTGGTGTATTTTCGATGTACTTGCTGGGCTGTGCCAGCAATCTGGCTGGACCCTGTCTTCGACTGTCGAAGAACGGCCTAGGGGTGACCCACAAGTGCCGCCAAGGCCTCGGACCCAGCAGCAGTGACTGGACATACAGTCGGGGCGCTGACGAAGGAACCCTTTTCGTGTGGGAGGGGCTCAGTGTTCCTTACTTGTGTTGCAGTTGGCCTTTGGTTTTCCTTGGGTTTCCGATGGAACATCGAATTTCAACTCAGGGGAAACAGGGGCCTCGTTCCTTATGTAGTGTTCGTTTGTGCAACGCCCCGACTGTAGTGCCAAAGCCATGCGGGCTGCCCCTGGGGCCACGAGTCAGGTCCTGACTCGGACTGTCGTTCCCCCGGGCCTCCCCTGCAGAGAGCGTGGTGCCCCTGCGCGAGCAGAGAGTGGCCGCGCTCCGCGCGAGGGTGCGGGCCCGAGAAGCTCAGGCCGAGGAGGCCTAAGTAGTGCTGTCGGGGGTGCCACCCTGGCCTGGCCCTTGCGGGCTCCACATCCCCGCCTGTGTCCTCTGATGGCTGCCGCGCCCTACAGCCGGGGCCCTGAGGAAGGAACCCTTTTCGTTGGGGAGGGGCTCGGTGTTCCTTACTTGTTTTGCAGCTTGCCTCAGGTGTTCCTTATGTTTTCGATAGGAAATCGAAGTTTAACATATGGAAAAAAGGAGCCTCGTTCCTTATTTAGGGTTCCTTAGGTCAACGCCCCGACTGTGCGTGTCATTTCAAGCTTGCAGGTCTCTTCCCCTCGGGGGCGTCCCAGCCTAATACAGTCGGGGTGCTGAAGAAGGAACCCTTTTCGTTGGGGAGGGGCTCGGTGCTCCTCAATCGTGCCGCAGCCTGCCCAAGGTTTTCCTTACGCTTTCGATGGGGGAGCGAAGTTTAACTGATGGGCAACTGGGACCTCGCTCCTCATGTAGGGTTCCTGAGGTCAGCGCCTCGACTGCAACCCCCTCCCCCCCCTCGCCCGCCCGCGCCGCCCCGAGGCATCGCCGCGGCCGCCGGGCCCGGCGAGCCCATCGCCGCCCTCTTCGAGGAGCGCGGCCAACATTTGTTTCCCGCCGTGGTGGCGGCCAGCATGGGTGGTGATGGCGGGGAGGTGGGCGGAGATCATGGCCGGGGCCATGCAAGCTGCCCAGATTTCATAGCTCCCTTCTACTTTTGCTTATTGTTATGTTTCTTCTGATTCTTCTCTTTCGTATGCTTGTTACTGTTATTATTGCTAAGGCCTTACGGCCAGTGCCGCCGACCCTGAAGACGACGACGACGAAGACGAGGAGGAGGAGGAGGAGGAGGAAGAGGAGGAGGAGGAGGAGGAGGAGGAGGAGGAGGAGGAGGAGGGGGATTCAGGTGGAAGGGAGCAGGAGAAGGCGAAGGAGATGTTCCCCATGCGGGCCGAGGGAGTCGTAGCAGAGTCAGACAGGGAGCCTTGTGGCCTGCGGCCCTTCCCGCGACCGTGCTGGGGTTGTGGTTGAAAGGCCTCTTGGATGTTTTCGGGCCTGTTGGGGCCTCTGTTGGGCCTCTTGGGGGTCTCTTGGGAGCCTCTTGGGGCCCCTTGAGGGGCTCTTGGGGCCTTCCGGGGGCGTCTTGGGGCGGGAAGCTCGAAATGTCGTTTCGTGGTCCTGTTCTTGGGTCTGCTTGGGGCCCTCTTGGCGCGTCCTGGCGCTTTTTTGGGCTCCGGGACGCCCAGGGGCGGATGCGTATCTGACCCCCCCCCCTGGGACCCCCCCCCCCCCCCCCCTCCCCCCGGCGGGGGGGGTCAAAGGGAAAGGGCTTCCCTTCGACTTAAGTGCGACGTTGCTACGGTTTTCTCTCGCTGGCAGGCTTGAAGAGGAGGGTGCAGGGAAAGGGGACGACGGAGACGCAGGGACAGAGGACAGCGGATGCGTCGACTGAGCACCCGCCGCCAGGGGGTCCACGCGCCGACAGGGTCGGCGGATTTCAGTGCTTCTCCTGGTCCCCCCCCTCGTCCGCGCACGTGCCTCGGGCCATGTAATTATTGCGAGCCCCCCTCTTGGACGCCCCCGTCTTTGGACGCCCCCAAGCCGTGCACTGCCGTCGTCGCCACAGAAGGCGTCGCCGTCGACAGCGATATCGTCTTCGGCTCCGTCTACGTGAGGCGCTCTCCACAAGCCGGGGCCTCGGCCTGGACGGGTCGGAGGAGTCGGCGCCCGCTCCTCGGCGGGAGGCCGGCGGAGGCCTGCAGAGCGAGGGCTCGGCTCCGCCAGCGGAAGGCCGGCGGGAGCCGGCGGAAGCAAGAGATGCGCCGCCGAGACGTGGGGTGTTTTTTTCGGAGCCCGCCATGTGGTCGTGGTCGTCTTCGTCGTCGTCGTCGTCGTCGTCATCGTCGTTGTCGTCGTCGGCGTCGGCGTCGGCGTCGGCGTCATCGTCGTCGTCGTCGTCGTCGTCGTCGTCGTCGTCGTCCACTTGGGCGCGTTCAAGATACGGGCGCGTGCGCGCGTGAGCATGTGTGCGCACTCCAGTCATCACGAACATGCACGTGCATTGTAAGGTACAAAGAACATGTGTACCAACATGTTTGGTGGTATGCTAACACGTTTGGTGTCTATACGCAGGCCGTTATAAAAACAAGAGCAATCGGACCTCAGGGACACCTGTTCGGCGACCATATTGGGCGTGGTTACGCTGGGGTGTGGGGTGTGGTTCGCGATCGGCGCCGTTGGGGGTCAGGGGGTCACCACGTTGCGCCCAAGGTTTGAGGAGCTTTCGTCGGGTCGCGCAGAGATCTCTCTGCCGAGGTCCTCGCCAGCCCCTCGCAGGCGTCGGTTGCAAAACGCACCCTTTGCAAACCACACCCTTCGGAGTCGCCGACCTGCGCGTTTGTCGGACAACGCTCCGTGGTTCGAACTGGAGGACCACTACGTTTGCAGACACGGACAGGATAATATGATCGATTGGGTCCGCTGGCTGGCTTTTCCTCTCCTTCTTCTCTAAACCATTCCGCGTTGAGGCGCCACCGCCTAGCTCCTCCTATGGCCGTCCCGCGGCCGGGACGAGTAGGGCCCCCTGTCCTTTGTCCCGACCTTGGCGTTTGCTTTTGAGCCTGGGGCCTATTCTGCAAGGGCCCCGTGGGTCAGCATCGTAAGGAGGAGGAGGCGGAGGAGGACCAGTGTAAACCCAAGAGTCACCAACGATGTTGGAATAAACCCTCCCCTCAAGCGCGCTCTTCATAGGCCTATACAACGGTTCAATTTCACAGAGGAACCTACCTCGTTGGAAGACAACCGTTTGAAGACCCTGAAGCGTGCCAATACATTGTTCTCGGGATTCCAACGCCATGGATAAATTTGACTGTTGCGTCTTGCTTGACGATCCTGAATCGTGCCAGGACGTCATTCCTGGGACTGCAACACCGCGAATCACCGTAACTGTTTCGCCATCATAATCGCGAATATGTCCAAAACACCATGTCTGGAACGTCGGTCGCGAGAATCCGTGAAGCTCTTGCATGTTTAAAAAACGAATGCGCGCGGCGCTAAGGCGAGGGCCGCATTTTGACAAAGGAACCGCCCTCAATCCGCGAAGCTCTTGCAATTCTTTTCAAACGCATGTGCGCGGCGCGCAGGCGAGAGCCACAGTTTGAAAACCACCCGCCCTCAATCCGTGAAACTCTTACAATTGTTTCAGACGAGCGTGTGCGGCGCTAAGGCAAGAGCCACATTTTGAAAACCACCCGCCCACAATCCGTGAAACTCTTGCAATGTGTAACAACTTATATGCGCGGCGCTAAATCCAGAGGCACATGTTGAGAACCACCCGCCCTCAATCCGTGGAACCCTTGCATTTTTTTCAAACGGATGTGCGCGGCGCTAAGGCGAGTTCCACATAAACGACCCGCCCTCCATTTGCGAACCTGTTGCCAGTGTTTAAGCTTCAGGGTCATAATTGGTGAGGAAGTCTCAGGCGATAAGCCCGACCCGCCCTAAAAACTGGCTTCGGGGTGCGAAAGGGAGAAGTTATTTGCAAGGAAAAGGAATGGTGGAGGAGGAGGAGGAGGGGGAGGGGAAGGAGGAGGAGGAGGAGGAGGAGGAAAAGTAGGAGGAGGAGGAGGAGGAGACGAGACCCAAGAGGTCACTCGCCCAGGTGGGGACAGGCCCCGCGAAGCCCGAAGGCCGAGCACATGCCCCCCCCCTCTGGGCGGGCCGGCCGGCCAGTGGGGCCAAGACCCCGCCAGTGGGGATCAATTGGCCTCGGTGGCGCGAGGCTCGGTGGGGCCCGGGGCCCAGGCGGACGAGCCCGCCGCGGCTTCTCCGAGACGCCCGGCGCGGCTGCCCGGGCGCTTCTCCTTCCGGCCGGCTCTTCTTCGGGCCACGGCGTTGCCCGCCTGCGGGGGACGAGGCGCGGCTGCCGGATGGGCCCCCCGCGGCCCGAACGCCGTGGCAAGGGCCTCCGAAGAGAGGGGGGGGTGCGAAAGAGTCTGCTGCGTGCGGCCGGCCTCGGCTCCGCCGCTGGGCGCGCTCCTGGAGACGGTGGCGGCTCTGGCGCGCGGGCCCTCTCGGGTGGCTTGGAATGGGCCTCTTGGCCGTCGGAGGAGTGTTCGGAGCCGTCTCCGAAGAGGCAGGCGGCTTCCCAGAAGGCGCGAGGGCTTCTGCGAAGCCCTCGCGCCTGCTGAGGAGGCCTGCCCCCTCCCACTTCCCCCCCCGGGCTCGCAGCCAAGTGCAGACGCTGCCGCATCCCACAGCTCGGGAAGCTGGGAGGTCTACGTCGAAGGCACCTCCGGCGAATTACCGCCACCCACTGCGTTTTAGACACGCCTGTGTGGTGAGATGTCGGGTGTCAGCGCGGTAACGCTAGTGGACCGCGTGTTGCCCGAGCTGTTGGCGAAACCGCTGGGGGGGAGCGCCGAGGAGTGGCCGTCTACGGGCTCTATTTGGACATTGGGGTCATTTTCTCGCCGTTCGGGCCGTCTCGATGGGGCCTCCTGGGGCTCTATGAGTTCATCCTGGGGCCTTCTCGGGCCGTCGTGGGGCGCCCCTGGGCCGTCCAGCATCCAGGGGACCCTCTTGGGCCCCACAGCTTGGGAAGCTGGGGTGTATTAGGGGAACAAAAAGTGGCATAAAAATAAAAACTCGGAGGTCCGCGCGGATTTCTCGGATCGGCGCTGGACCCCCCTCCATGGCGCGCGGAGCGCGCCAGGGGCGGCGCCGGAGGCGCCGCCGGGGGGCCCCAGCGCCGATCCGAGAAGTCCGCGCGGACCTCAGAGTTTTTATGTTTTGTCACTTTTTGTTCCCCTGTGTATGTCTGGTGGCCTTGGTCCGTCCCGCCGCTGTGCCTGGGTCGTGGACACCCCACTCCGCGCCTCGCGGAACGGTGTCGGACATTTCGAGCTCCACGGCCGACCTCACGGTGCACCAGGCGACTTTGGGTGTGCACTTCGAGCCCCTCCCGGCAGCCACCGAACGCCCCCACCGGACCGAGCAGCAGGGGACCCCCCAGGTGTGGTCGGGGGCTCCCCCCGCGTGGAAACTCCCTGCCCCAGCCCGCTTCGCCCCCGCCCTCCCAGACCTCCGACGCCAGATGTTTGTTCGCAGTGTGGTCCCCAGAAGCCTCGGCCCCTGCCCCGTGGCTCTCAGGAGGAGGGGTAGAGGGAGGAACGATAGGAGGGGGGGAGGAGGAGGGGGAGAGGCGGAGGAGGAGGAAGGAGATGAGGAGAGAGGAGGAGGAGAGGAGCAGGAGCAGGAGCAGGAGCAGGAGCAGGAGCAGGGCTGGAGGGAGCAGGAGGAACAGAGCGGGATGAACAGAGGAGAAGGAGGAGGAGGAGGGTGAGGGAGGAGGAGAGGAGGAGGAGGAGAAGGAGTGGAGGAGGAGGAGAGGAGGAGGAGCTCCACCCCGAGCTGTTTTCTTCCGACGGCTCCTTGGCCGCCGGGCCCCGGCCGCCCGGAAGGCCGACCTCTGCCACACGGCTCCCCCTCCTCCTTCCTCCTCCTCTCCTCCTCCTCCTCACTCCTCCTCCTCCTACCTCGTATTCCCCCTCCTCCTCCTCCTCCGCCTCCCCCTCCTCCCCTCCTCCTCCTCCCGCCCCCTCCCCTCCTCCTCCCCTCCTCCTCCTACCTCCTACTCCTACCTCCCTCCTCATTCTTCTCCTCCTCCTCCTCCTCATCCTCCGCTCCTCCTCCCCCTCTCCTCCTCGTATTCCCCTCCCATTCCTCTCCTCCATCGTATTCCTCCCCCTCCTCCTCCTCCTCCTAACTAACCTCCTCCTCCTCCTCTCCTCCTCCTCCTCCCCTCCTGCTCCTCCCCCTCCTCCCTCCTCCTCCTCCTTCCTAATCCTCGCCCACGCGAGGGGCTGGTCCTTGGTCTGTACCGTCCAGGTCTGAGCCTTTGGTCTGGGCCGTTCAGGCATGGGGCCGGAGCATGGCAGGTTCGCGTCGTGTCGACAAGGGGCGACCCTGCCGCAGGCGTTTAACGTTGAACTTCGCCGCCGACCCAGAATCGGTCGATGTTGAACGATCTGACGCTTCGGAAACGGTCGAGCGTTCAAGGTATAACGACCCCCGCGGTGTCAGAAGCCAGCGCTGAAGTTCGATGGGGTCGGGGGACCGTGCCGCATCGCTGATGCAGTGGCGATGCGGCTCGATGTGCAGTCCGATCTCTCCCGTGCCGGCAGCACCGATGCACCGCCGACGTCGCCGATGCATCGGCGATGCTGCGCGATCCTCCGACCCCACCTAATTACGCGGACACCATGTGGGAGGCATCCAGTCGCTGCTGACGATGTCGGAGGATCCTCATGGGCCAGGCGAGAAGGGTAGGATAGGGAAAAAGGGGGCTACGAAACCCGCTGCCTGTAGCTGGTTTCCGCCCCGCCGCCAGGCCCATTCCTCGACACATGTGCGCCTCCCGGCGCCAGGAGGCGCCAGGAAAGTCAGCTGCGTGAGCTGATTCTCTACCCTGCCCTTTGCTGTCCTGCCCTCTCGTCCCCTCCCGAGTCCGAGTGTCTGCGCGTGCGTGGGTGCGTGCGCGTGCGCGTGCGCGTGCGCGTGCGCGTGCGCGTGCGCGTGCGCGTGCGCGTGCGCGTGTGCGTGTGCGTGTGCATGTGCGTGTGCGTGTGCGTGTGCGTGTGCGTGTGCGTGTGTGTGTGTGTGTGTGTGTGTGTGTGTGTTTGCGTGTGTGTGTGTGTGCGTGTGTGTGTGTGTGTGTGTGTGTTTGCGCGTGTGTTTGTGTGTGGCCTTCTCCCCGCTCTTTCATGCTGACCAATTCGCTTTTCGGTTGCCCTGAATCGCTTCTCGCTGGCGCGGATTACCTCTGCCTCGCCGGCGACGGGAAAAGTGTGTGTGTGTGTGTGCGTATGTGTGTGTGTGTGTGTGCGCGTGCGTGCGTGCGTGCGTGCGTGCGTGCGTGCGTGCGTGCGTGCGTGCGTGCGTGCGTGCGTTTGCGTGCGTGCATGCGCGCGCGTGCGTGCGTGCGTGCGTTTGCGTGCGTGCGTGCGTGCGTGCGTGCGTGCGCGTGTGTGTGTGTGTGTGTGTGTGTGTGTGTGTGTGCGTGTGTGTGTGCATATGTGTCTGCGTGTCTCGCCGGTCCCATGCCTCGATGCACGGGCGCCTCCCGGCGCCTGGAGGCGCCAGGGAAACCAGCTGCGTGAGCTCAGTCTGCCCTTTGCCGTCCTCTGCTGCCCAACCCTTCCCCCCCCCCCCCCCCAGCCGGGAGGCCTCCGCGGGAGGAGGAGGAGGAGGAGGAGGAGGAGGCGGAGGAGGAGGAGAAGGAGGAGGAGGAGGAGGAGGCCTCCGCGCAGGCCCCCAGCGGGTTTTCCCCGCGCGGAGGGGCTCGGAGGCCGGCGGTCGCCGTCGCCGTCGTCGGCGTCGCCGCCGTCGCCGCCGTCGGCGTCGCCGTCGTCGCCGTCGCCGTCGTCGTCGTCGCCGTCGTCGCCGTCGCCGCCGTCGTCGCCGTCGTCGTCCTCGTACTCCTCGTCGTCCTCGTCCTCGTCCTCGTCCTCGTCCTCGTCCTCATCGTCGTCCTCGTCCTCGCCCTCGTCGTCCTCGTCCTCGCCCTCGTCGTCGTCGTCGTCGTAGTCGTCGTCGTCGTCGTCGTCGTCGTCGTCGTCGTCGTCGTCGTCGGTCTGGTCGGTGTCTCCCTGCCCCTCGACCAGTCGGGGCCTCTGGCGCCGCAGGGCCCGCCCGCCCGCCCGCCGCGCCCCGAGGAGTGGCACGACAGCTGCGGCACTGACAGCGTGCGCCGCCCCCTCCCGGCGTCGTGAAGAAATCGACCAAGAAAGAACGCCATAAACATAATCAACGGCACCGCAACGGGTACTTTTCACGGGTACTTTGCGATGTTGCCGAAAGTTGCCACTTTAGGGCCTCTTTCTGGCAATGCAGCGTTGCCCGCATCGGGAAGGGTTTTTGTTCGCTGGGTCACTGGCCAAAGTTCAGAGTGTGAATTACCTACCCCGCTTTCGCTTCCAGGCAAAACCAAGCCATACCATGCGCCTCCTCGTCAAGCGGCCTGACCAGTACAGGCTGCAATTTGGCATCGTTTGGTATCTCTTGGAAGCGAGGGTGGTCGAAAGCGAGGTAGGTTTGTTTCCCCCCTAAAAGTACCCGTCAGCGGAGTCCCCGCTTGAGGGGCGCTGACATAAAGTTGTGGCGCTCCGCGCGGACCTCTTGGATCTGCGCTGGCCCCGCCAGCGGCGGCGCCTCTGGCGCCGCCCCTGGCGCGCTCCGCGCGCCGGGGAGGGGGGGGTGCAGCTCAGATCCAAGAAGTCCGCGCGGAGCGCCAACAGTTGATGTGTATGGTGTTTTTGTTCTTTGCTACCTACTGCCAGGTCGCATCGTGATGATGCGCTGCCCTTGCATCCTTGCCCATTCGGCCCACCCTCGGCGACCTTCGCGGGCAAACCCTGGTCGAAAACGCCAACATGGCCCTCTAAGGCACTTGCGTCTTCGCCGCGCGCCCTTATCATGCGACTGGACAGTACGTACGGGGGGGCTCCCTCGAAGGCCCCTCGGTTTGGGCCAGCGGAGGGCGTCATGTTCTTGAAGAAGGCTCTTCTGTCCCGGGTCCGACCGCATGCGACTTGACTGCACGCGTGCCCGTCACGACGACAGGGGGATTTTCGACGAAAAATAAAAAAAGATACCCCAAACATACACCGAAAAGGTAAGAACATACAAAAACAAACATGATTATGGGATTGCTTTTGGAGTGTTTTTGATGTATTTTTGTATTTTTCGTCGAAAGTCCCTCTGCAGGGGGACAGGCCCGACTTCAGGGCAGCTCTCGACCTCCAGCGGCCCTCCCGCCGTGCCCCCGGGGGGCGTCAGGGGCCACGGCCGCAGGGCGGAGACGCAGGCCCCCGGCGAGAGGCTGCCGAGATCTCTGTAGCGCATCCCAATCGACCCCGCTGCGACACCCGCCGCGGCGCGAAAGGCCGACCCTGCCCCCCTCCCTCCTCCCCCTCCTCCTCTCCTCCTCCTCCTCCTCCGCCTCCTCCCTCCCCCCCCCCCTCCTCCCCTCCTCCTCCTTCCTCCGCCTCCTCCCCTCCTCCTGCTCCTCCTCCTCCTCCTCCTCCTCCTCCTCCTCCTCCTCCGTGCGCATGCTACGATCGGGCCGGACGGAAGGGGGGGAATGAGAAAGGGGGGGTTACGAAATCTGCTGCATGCAGCTGGTTTCGGCCCCGCCGAGGGGCCCCTTCCTCGATACATGGGCGCCTCCCGGCGCCGGGAGGCGCCGGGAAAATCAGCTACGTGAGCTGATTCTCAAACCCCCCCTTTGCTATCCCCCCTTTTCGCACGACTCGACGCTCGCGGCGTCGAAGGCTGGCCATCCCCCCCCCCTCGTGCGCATGCTACGACGGCCAAGGAAGAGTGCAAGCGTTTGTGTCGCGAATGCAGGCGCGCCGGAACAGAGACACCGAGCTCGCAGGAGAAGACGTCGCCAGAAGCAGAAACTGTTGGCGCTACGCACGGAGCTCTTGGAGCCGCGCTGGGCCCCCACGGCGGCGCCTCTGGCGCCGCCCCTGGTGAGCTCCGCGCGCCAGGGAGGGGGTCACTGCCTCAGATCCAAGAGATCCGCGCCGAGCGCCAAAAGTTTGTGCTCATGCCGTTCTCATTCCTCCATGAGCGTAGGTCCCGCTTATGATTAAGAAACCTCCTCCCGAAAAGCTGGCCCAGCGTTTCTTAACCAACTTGCCGGAGAGCTGGCTCAGTTTCGTAAGGGGATTGGTAGCTTCGGATCCTACAAATGAACAACTGGTGTACGCTCCTGGCTCCAAGAGCTGGCCCAGCGTTTGCTTAAGAAACTTCTGAACAGCGGTCCCAGCTTTCTTGATGGATAAGTCTCGTAATCCTATGTTCGACTGTAGGTCAATGCCTGGCGGCGGAAGACGGGCATGTGCAGTCCTCCGCCCTCCGAGGGCGTCCCCGGGGGAGCACGTCCAGGACCGTTCGGCAGCCCGGCTGGGCGCCGGCCCGTGCCTGAGCCGCCTCCTCGGCCTGCCTACGAGGCACGTCCGGAACCTTCCTGGCCCTCACCCCCCTCCCTCCCGCTCTCCCCTCCTCCTCCTCCTGCCTCCTCCTCCTCACTCCCCCCCTCCTCCTGCTCCTCCTCCCCCCCCCTCCCTCCTCCTCCTCCTCTCCGTCCCCCCTCCTCCTCCTCCTCCTCCTCCTCCTCCTCCTCCTCCTCCTCCTCCTTTCCTCCTCCCTCCTCCTACTCCTCCTCCTCCCTCCTCCCTCCTCCCTCCTCCCTCCTCCCTCCTCCTCCCTCCTCCTCCTCCTCCTCCTCCTCACCTCCCTCCTCCTCCTCCTCCTCCTCCTCCTCCTTCCTCCTCCTCCTCCCTTCCTCCCTCCTCCCTCCTCCCTCCTCCCCTCCTCCCCCCTCCTCCCTCCTCCCTCCTCCCTCCTCCTCCCTCCTCCTCCCTCCTCCCTCCTCCCTCCTCCTCCTCCCTCCTCCCCTCCCTCCTCCCTCCTCCCTCCTCCCTCCTTCCTCCTCCTCACCTCCTCCTCCTCCTCCTCCTCCTCCTCCTTCTCCTCCTCCTCCTCCTCCTCTTAATGAGCCAGGACACAGATAAACCGGGACACGGAAAACTAAGGAAGCGGCACCCTTTCCTGCAAGGTCACGTTTTCCAGCACCCGTGCATGTTTTGTTTGCGGCGTTGCAGGATTCGGGCTTGTGTCCGGATTTTGGGGCGTCTTGCAGGCTTCTGATGCTTGTGTCTGGGTTTCTTCTGGAAATGCTGCAGTGCAGTATTTTGTTCGTGCCGCCGTCTGGAAAAATTGGTTTCGAGGGATGTTGGGTGTCCGGATCTAGCGTGTCCGGGTTTACAGGGCCTTGAACCCCTGTTCCGCAGCAGGGCAAGGTCCGACCGCGCGCAGACGCCGCACGCACCCCACCAGTGAAGCACACCCCTTTGCAGAACGAGCGTTGCAGGTAAGCTGCTGGGAGGTCATGGAGTCGGCGAAATCATCTTCGGACTCTTCTAAGTCCATCGCTCGGGTACCATGACAGTTTTGTCTGGTAATGACATGGCATGTTTGCTACTCAGATCCTGCTCCGCCAAAAAGGCCTCTCATGACCTCCCACGGAGGCTGTCGGGCAGCCTCCGCGCACGGCCCGAGCGCCACAGCAGATCTCTGGGGGCGCTTTCTTTTTGCCTGCCAGGCCCCCGCGGGGGCGCGTAGGCCATCGTTCGATGATCCTCAGGGTGTGTGCTGGCCCAGTGCCCACCCCCTTCCAGGATGCAATTCCTGGGAGGTGAAATTCTGTCTCGGCGCTGTCACTTTCGCGGTCGATCGCCAGCCTCACCTGGGCGAATCCGGCATAACTCGGCTGCATCCTGGTTAAACATCTTGTTTATCCAGCTTCATCCCTGGCTCAATCCAGCATGATCCGACGGAATGTCTCTTCCATCGACCTTAATCGCCTTTACTCGTTCCAGCGAAGACCTCCCAGGAGTTGCCGCCTGACCCTTTCAGCCCCACCGACAGCATGCAGTTCGTGCTGGCCCCCACGACCTTGCCTGCGTCGCTCTGAAGGGCTTCTGTGGACGAGGACGCGCTGGTGCTGACACACAGTCTGGGGATCCTCGATGTCGATTGCGACCGGCACGAGCCGCTGCGACCTCGATGCTCCGAGGATCCCACGTGGCCCGATGCTCGCACGGCGCAGTTGTGGATCCTGGCGCAGCCGAACCGAGCTCGATTTCGATCGACGGAGGAGACACGATAACCCTGTCTCGGGAGCCTTGAGACGGGGGTCAGTGCAAACGGGGGTCAGCCAGGGCACCGGATCCTACAGGATCCTGCGAAGACCCCCTCTGGCTGACCCGGGTTAGCGAGCCGCTCGTGGCCGCGAGGCGGCCGCACATATTGGTTGACCCGGGTTTGCGAAGACCTGCGTTGCATTTATTTTTCCTGCATTGCAGTTTTTCGGTTTGCTGCTGACCCGGGTCTGGATTGACCCGGGTCAGAAGATCCCCGACTGTCCCCCGGATAGTAAAGCATACACCCCCCTTCCCACCTGAGAGTTGATTGCCCCCAGCCAATACAGAGTTGGTCGCGGGAGAGGGGCGGCAAGGCCGATGTTTTTTTTGCAATGCGGGGGAAAGTTGCGAATCCATGTTCGAATCGAAAGCTGACCATGACCCGGATGTCGCGGGCCCTCGTCGACACCGATCTTGATCACAGTCCATGCCGACCGTCGCCGATCCGCAAAGAGGATCCACGGACGGACGATGACGATGATGGGCGATAACCAACATCGGCACCGACGTTTCCGCGTTCAGTCGTGGTCACTGTCATCGTTCTCTTTCCCTCCACTGGACCTCGCGCCAGTGCGGCCCGATGCGACGCGCACTCCGACTCGACAGGACCTCCCGATCCGGTGCTGGCTGCCCGCGCCGCGGGGTCGCGAAGGCCATCAGTGCTCCGCTTTTCGCGGCCAGTCTGAAGTCGGGCATGTCCCTCTTCAGGAGGAATATTCAGGAATGGTTCAAAATCGTTTGGGGACGATTTTGATTATCTTGGACTATGTTTGGGCATTGTTTGGATGATTTTGACTATCTTTGACTATTTCTCGGCAGTGTTTAAGTATTTTTTATGTTTCCTCCCAAATTCCCCCGTATGAGGACGTGCCCGGCCCAATTCTAGCCAGGGCGACCCTGGTCCCAGACTCGGTTTGCACGCCCTCCTGGCCAAAAGCCAGGACGACGGACACACCGATCTCTGGGTTGACTGTGCTCTGACCCCCTCTGGGAGGCCTCGGGTCCTCCCGGCCATGCCTCCCCCGAGGCCCGACGCTGCGGCCGGCAACGAACAGATACCCTGGCGAAGGACCCATCCCTCCTTTTCCTCCTCCTCCTCCTCCTCCTCCTCCTCCTCCTCCTCCTCCTCCTCCTCCTCCTCCTGGCTCCGCCGCCGGGCCCCCCTCGCCTCGACGCTTTTCAGCGCCCCGCGGCGCCGGGAGGCGCCAGGATCGGTGCAGGCGCGTCGGAGGGTGGGGGGTGAGCTCGAGGCGTGCTTCTGCGAGGCCC